AAAACTGACAGAGTATTTAGATCAGGCTGAACTTTTGGCTGATTGGGATTACTTTCACATGACTAACATCATCATTTGAAAATTTGGCCATGTTTAGGCACGAGCATCCGCCAGTGTAGCAGTACATATCTGAAAGAACATGAGAAAAACACAATAGGTACCTTTAATAGAGATATAATATGTAAAACGCAACCTGCAGATCAGCAGCAGAGATCTTAAACGTTGTCTCTGAGATCTTAGATTTGATCTTAAACACACTCATTGCTTGTGTAAGAGGGACAAATCATTTTGTTCCAATTAAAGCCCTGCCAGCTAAAACGATTAATTCCCTCAAATAGAATAAAAGGAGGCATAATAATAATAATGTTTGCTGATAACTAACATTGGAGGGAAAAGCAGGATCTAGCTGATATAATTAGTCAAACATTAAGCTAGTGGGGGTTTTTTAAGACGTGGGCTCTCTGCTGTTAACGTCTATTCACAGAGTACTGTATTATTAGTCTGAGCCACCAGAGGGTGCTGTGACCATCCACCCCAACATCCACCTTCACTGCTGAGGTTTTGCTGGATGTCCTGTCCTTGCAAAAGTCTTTATTTCCAGTGTCTTTATTCAGGCTGTTAATCCTTGCAAAAAGATGTCAGCTAATGGAGTGACTGGTAACTGACAGAACATCTCTGTCAATTAAAACAGTTAGAATCTGCTTCAGACCAGCTCAGATTGTTGTTTAAGATTTTGGTGCAAATGTAACAGCAGTGTTTACACTGTAAGTTTGAAAGTCAAATTAACAGTCATGTTTTCATGCTTACTTGCTATTGTCTGGAGCGGAGACGTCTGGAGAGATAACTGACTGAGAGAGCAAAGTCAAACACAAGCTGATAAATGAGTATGAGAAGAATAACATTGTACTGCTATCGTTTGTGGCTTATTAAAATAGTCTTTAACCTCTGATGGCATTTTTTGTTTTACCTTAATATAATAAAACAAATACAAACCTTTTAAAAGGTGCCAAATTGACTACCAAATTACTCATTATTTTATCTTGTACTGGGTTAGACTAGTTTTTGTATTCAGATCTACCTTGGCATAAACTGAGCAAGGTGTTGGAACTTCTTCTCACAGATTTTAGTCCATATTGACATGATGGCATCATGCCGTTGCCGCATGATGAGAATCTCCTGGTTCTTGTATCAACAGTTCTCCCTGAACCGTTGATAAGGCATCCATGTTATTATGTTCCATCCATCCATTTTCTTCTACTTATCCAGTTGTTTACACCAAATCCTGACCTTCTCATCTGAATGTTGCAGTGTTGTCAATCAGACGTTGTCTTGACCACATGTTAAAGTTTAAATCTGTTGAGCTGAACGATTGGTTAATTAGATATTTGCATAAGCAGTTGAACAGGTGGATTTGGCACCAGGTGGCATTCCTGTCACAACTCCAAAGGGTGCCTGCAGCTGGAATTGAACCAGCAACCTTCCACATATCAAGTGAGTGTGTTAACTTCTACAAAATCATAAATTTTAATTATGCGTTTTAATTCATGTGATTAGTGGAGAAGCATAAACAGCATATTGTGACGTATATATATGCATAAAAACAGGGGCTTTATTACATCGCTCTACAGCGTCACCATTGGTTAGAAAGCGAGCTTTAAATACCACTTTATTTGATTATTCTGCTCTGAATTGCTTTTTAGAAACTTTTATTCTTTATTTTCTGTCAGTTTTATTCCTCTTTATTTTGCAACACCCAAAACTTTTTCATGTAAAATCAGTACAAACTAAAATGTGATCAATTTGGAATATTGTAATGGATAAATACAGAATTAAATTACAACAAAAGCACTGAAGCTAAGCCTTGCTGCGGCTCAGTAGAAGAAGTAGGAAGAGGGTCAATCCCACCACAGCCCTTCTGTGTGGAGTTTTGTTTTTATTTTCGGGGGTTCTGGTGAATTCTGTAAAAGAGACTCTTAATCAGTTTCCCTTCCTGGTTTAATATCGTTCAAAAGGACACACCAACCAGAGATTCTCAATGTGTGAAAATCATTATTTCTGTAAAATGTTGCTGTTGATTTAAAATACTTTGCTTGTACAAACTGTTTTTATAGCTTATTTTGCTATGATCCTGGTTTATACTGCATTGATGTGTCATTAGCCTTTTCGTGTTTGAGCTGCTGAATATAAGATGACAACAGAAAATATCCCTCTCTAAAAAAAACAATTAGGATAGAATAAAGAGCTTCAGTTTATAGATGAATACATTTTCCACCAATGGTTTCAAATCCGAGCTTTCATTTCTGTTGCACTATTATTTATTCATTAATTTGTTTAAGACACTGAGGAGCTGTTCCCAGCACAATTTGTACCCATTCTGCTTCTACAGCACACGTCTTGCTGATGATAAACAGCCAAGGCCTAATGTGTGTGTTTTCCAGGGGATGTGAATGTGAGCAACTGCTTCCCTACAGGGAGCGTAACATCATTTCAGATTCCTTTTTAGTGATGCAACGAACATTCCCACATGTTGGCGCGAGGGACATTCACAGACCATGTGAGCCAAACAAAACAAAACAAAACAAAAAAAACCTTTTCGTTTATAACAGTGATCAGAGCTGCTGAAAACAAAAACAAGACTAAACACAATCTTTAAAACAACTGTTTTTAGTTCACGGGCAGGCATGAATTATGTATTATTGCCAAGCTTTTGTTTTACTTTCTGTCTGTGTGTGTTTTGACTGAGCTGGTTTCCTTTAATTTAACTATTAAAATATCAACTAACAGGGCTGGATTAGTGCTGAACTACACAGAGAGGCCCCACATAAAAATATTCTCTGTTAATTAATAGGTAATTTGATTAGCTGCATGTCAGTTTAAAGTTCAAAACTCTGATACTAAATACTTTTTACTGTAATGTTTATAGGCCCTTTAAAAAATACAAGTTTAGGGAAAAATTATTACACAAAAAGTCCACATTAATCATAAGATACAACTTTATTAACACTAAATTTAAAAACCACCTTTCCTTAAACATCGGCTACATAATTACCCCTCACTGTCTCTGGCCTGTATTTGTACAGCCACCATTCATTCCAACCACCTCCCTGATTAGCCCATAACATTTTCTCACAACAGGAAAACACTGCAAAATAGCAACGCAAATGGTAAGAGGTCGTCTTTAAATTTACCTGATAAATTCATAGTACACATTGCACATTAAATTCGTGTTTATTTAACAGTTAGTTACTACATGAAGCACAGTAAACTCTGAAGAAAGTGCTAATATTTTTTCAGAGAAGGAAAAGACACTTGTACCTAGTGGAGGCCGGGGTTGGTGAAAGGGATTTGGTAAAAAATGCAACTCACTCCGACCTTAATCAAGATTTTGAACTTTTTGTTTATACCCTAAACGTAGAATCATTAGTATCAACCTTTACTCCACTTTTATTACCTGTGCAATCGACTACATGTTGCATTCAGTTACTGTGTGCAAGTTACATGTGCTGTAATTATGTTTAACTTCTGCCCAGTGAGGCTACCAATATGTATCACCGGGGCATCACTGTTTACAGTCTAGCAAAAATAGAAATACAGAGATGTAAACTGAACATAAGAGCAATTTGATTTAATAAACTTCTTCATGTTAACAAGTATTTAATAAAACATATTTTATAAAGTAATACGGGTTCAGTCTCATTCACAGTACAAAAAATCTATATAAACAAATAAATGTATTTTAATGAAGCAAACAGTCATTGATATGATGTAGTAATTAGATGTCAATTAATATTTAAAAAATTGGCAAATTAAATAAGATTAGCACCAATAACCCCCTGGCTGTCAACATGTGTGAGACTGCAGGCAAAAATAAAAATGCAATTAATGTGCAGTACACTGTTAATAAACTAGAAGAAGGCACATCTATAGATATGTTACTTACACACTGAACTACTGTAATTAATTATTATCAAGCTTCTCTATAAGCTCTCTGAAAATCCTTCAAGTGAGAGAAATGCTTCTAATGTTATAGAGTAGGGTTGCTGGAGGACTGGGTTTTTTTTATTCATGTGGTTCCGTAGTGGAGTGGTGTACATGTTTGACAAACAAGTGTAAGATACCTGGTTTGATTCCATGAGGAAATGCAAGGTGAACTGAACCAGGAGTCCTGACAAGACCCCCCTTTGGTGTTCTGGGTATTTGGTAGCCACCATGGCCCAATCAATCATGCAGTGCAATTGGCCATGGTGACCACTTTTGAATATGGTGCAGCTGAAAGTAGCTTTTTTTGTCACTTATGATCTCTCCATGCTCCTCTTTTCTGGATTTCCTTTCCATCAGTCCCCCTACTTGATCACCACAGATAGCTGCCCTTCCCCAAGCCTGGCTTGAAGTCTCTTTTTTGTTAAACAAGAGTTCTTCCTTCATTTGGTTGCCAAAAGCTGCTTGTATGCTTGTTTATATTATTAAAACCGAAATAAGTGATGCCTTCAAAGGGTGGTTAGCACCTGCACCTTGTGTTCAAATCCAGCCTTTCCTGCCTCTCCTGTATGTTCTATGTATGTTCTCCTGCATGTTCTCCCTGTGTCTTTGTGGGTTCTCTCTGGGTATTCTGGCTTATACCCAAAGTAGTGGATATGGTTAAGTTAGTAAGTGGTAGATAAAAGAAAAAAAAAAACTTCCACAAATAAGACCATATAGATTTTTCACCTTACACTGTTATACGATATTAAAAAGAAAGACATATAATTAAGTGTAAATCTAGTTTATAAACATCAATAATTAAAATGTAATAATAATGATAGAGCTTAAAAACTGAAAACAATGATGATGACACTAATCATGAAGACTTGCTGACAGTGTTAACCTTGTAATCTACTGATAAGATAGTTTTTAGCTCATTCTGTGTATTTTCTTCACATTCCCATAGGAAGTGAGTGGAGCTGTTTTCAGCCAATCAGATCAGCGGATAATGCTCCGACAACAAACAAAAGATCGAGGCTAGCCGAGCTCATCATACTTTGTCGATCCGTCTAGGCTAACGTTAGTAGTTACTTTGCCCCCAGCACCGACTAGCTCCCTGTTTTTTTTTTTACTTCTTTGCTCAGATCCCGTGGGGCAGTCTCATCCTCTTGTTTCTATTTGTGTTTTAGTCAGACCTAATGTCAACCTGAGTCATTTTCAGCGATCGCTTCGCCTTTGCTGGCCAAGCTAAACGCGTTAGCCAGGTTAGCTTCTCGGCTAACCAGCTCTGGCTGCCTCTGCAACAACCAGCGAAGCCAATTAGCTTAGCCTCCTAGTTTGCTAGCTTTGCTAACTCCCCTTTAAAACTTGACACTGACGGACACAAGTGGCTCTGGCTTGTTGCTGACAAGCCAGTTTACTAAAACTCGTGTCGTAGCCATGTCTGGACAGTCATCCGGCGGTGGGTTTCTGATGTCGGTAGTTGTCCACGGAGACTCGGCTCTGAACGAGCAGGAAAAGGAGCTCAATCAACGGCTCCGACGGCTCTATCCGGCCGTTAACGAAAACGAGACTCCACTTCCCCGATCCTGGAGCCCGAAGGACAAGTTCAGCTACATCGGACTGTCTCAGAACAACCTCCGTGTACACTATAAAGGTATGACAGAAACCCTTAATCGGGAATTTTTGTACTTGTGTTACCAAATGCTAACGACATGTTAGCTTAGCTTGACGGTTAGCGGATCAAAGCCAACTGCCGTTGAGGCTAAAAACAAAGTCTGCTAAGCTAGCAGCTTCACCAACAACAAGACAGAGGACATCTTGCAACCCGACCAGCTGGCGAGGTGTAGCCACAGCCAAAATTGACCTACTAGCTTGTTAGCTTTCCTGCTACCTTGTGAGACAGCTCGTCAGCTCCATTTATAGTCACCGGGAAGCTTTCACGACAGACAACCTGGCCAACTCTCTTGTGAAATATATATTTAAAAAAAACATCCTTAGCTAAATTACATCTGATGGTTTGGGTGCCAAAATTACAACGTTCAGTGTTATCCAAAATGAACCAGAGCTTGACAACCCTCTGTTAGGCTAATGTAACATTATTTTATTTATTATTAATTGTCAGGAAATGCTGTGTCAAATATCGTGATTATCCCGGTCAGCGGCTCTGCTAGGCTTCCAGTGAAGTGGCTAGTGTTGATACGATATGCAGAGATAGTTGGACTAGTTTCTATCTAGAGGGCTTTTTCTCTTTCTTTTCTTTTTTTTTCTGGTGCAGGCCTACAAGAAAAGGCTAGTGTGTTGTTGTTGTTGTTGTTGTTGTTGTTGTTGTTTTTTGTTTTTTTTTTAAAAAGGTGCAACTGCTTCCTGGGTGTGTACTGCTATTCTGTGTCTGTCTGGCCCTCTGCACACACGCTTCCTTGTTGCAACTAGAATGTTCTGCCTTTGTGCAACAAATCCACCTGAATTTCTTACAGCAGCTGCAACTTTAACATTCAAACACTGTAAAACTTTTACATGTACTGACCTCCAGGGAGCAATTCTCCACTTACTGAACAGTTTATTCTAACAGCAGTGTTAAGCTCTAAAATTCAGGCCTTCTGTGATTAACCATGTTTTAACAGAATGCCATAGTTGTAAATGGAAACCCTTTGATTTTAGTTAGATGGGTTTTGGTTCCAATTCCAAATATAAATTCTCATATAAAACCCTCTGAAAAGATTGTTCTGTGAGTTCTACTGAAACTAAATGTCAGCTGTGTCCAAAGGCCTACCAGAAATGTAAAATACATTGTAATGTAAAATAGCAAATACTTTACAAACTGACATGTCAGTTATGTAAACTTTTTTTTTTTTAAAATAAACATATTCACATTTCACATGGTTAAATGCTAATATTTAGTGGTATAGTTGGCTAGAAAATGAATAATTCTTTGGTGGGTTAAGATTTCGTTTTGGAAGATTACATTTATCTGACATTTTATGGACAAAAGCATTAATTCTATATTTGAGAAAATAATGTTTCATATGCTAATACAGTAATAACAGAAAAATGTCATCAGAGCAAGAGAGAATAGCATTGGTGTTACTCAGTGATATAATTCACATTTGTACACCTCACACCCAAAGACTGTTTTAAACAGCTTTACTGTGCAGAAGTTTGTATAACAGACAATACTTAAAAGAACAGTAGAAAATCTACACAAGAAAAGTTATTATTCTGTAGACACTGTGTTACCAATTAACCGCTCTGTAATAATGTCTGTAATTAATGATAATGATAATATTAATACAGGTTATTTGTAATCTCACTTAATAATTAACATGGTCTTTGTTTTTAGTCAGTACTGATTAATTTATTGATCGGTTCATTTACCCGACACTAATCGTTTAGCTATTTTGGTTACAGATGAATACGTTCAAGACTTGTGTTTGCCAAAAATGGAAACCACTGTTAATTCTGGGTTCAGAAGTGTTCTTGTAAGCTGATCATCTTTAAACTTTATATAATTATAAAGATTAAATGATTGAGTTGACTAATAAATTAATGTTTCATGTAAAATTTTAATGATCGTGTTTTCCTGTTGCTCTTTCAATCTGGGAGCCATATTGCCAGTAGAAAATTTGTAAAATGGAGGTGAGGTGTTTACTTCACTTGATCTACATCTAGTATATATTTCCTTATATTTGAATGTGGTTCTGGGGTATTTGAAAGAAAATAATTAACTTAACTGTGATAAGTAACCAAGTGTCTTTATTAAGACATACAAAAGCATTTAAAGAAATCTTTAAATTATGACAAATTGTACTGTAAACTCAGGGCCTGTATTATGGTCTAGACATACATTTACAAATGTATGTTGTTTTTACATGAAGGCAGTCAGGTCAAATGATGCTGCTGTTTATTGTTTATATCCTACATATAAAGAACCAGCCATTAAGTAAATGTATTGGATATTGTCAGATATTCTGTTGGCAGCATACTGAGAATTTCCCTCTCTAATGATATTTAGAACCTTATTAATAAAACCAGTTTATTTGACTATCTATTGTAATAACTAAACACAGCTACTGAGTAACATACAGCAGTGTAAACATGTGATTTATAACCGTCATGGTGCTGTTAATAGCTCTACACTGTGGCTTCATGTTAACCTTAAAGACTGAGATTATGAGCCGCTCAGATTTAAGACGTTTGGAGTGACAATCTTCTCACCAACGACACATCTTTTGCTCAGGTGTGTTTATAAAAATGTCACCTGGTATATCAGCATAATATTTCTGTATTGTTCAGCCATAGTGATACAAACCTATATATGTTTTATAGTATGTTCATCCACATATTCGTAATGGCAGACCATTGAATGTGGAAAGTATGTAACCATGGAAAGTAAATTATGCAGTACTTACAAGTAAAATATGCACCTCGACAAATAGTGGGACATCCAGTATTTTCCTTGAGGCT